TTTGAGTAGACCATGCTCTAGAGGATCGTACAGTGCGTGACTAGTTTGTGAAATCCAATCAGAGCAATTCACCTTTGAAGACCGGCAACCTTCAGGGAGACTATCATCTGTTTAAACGACCAAATCTAAATGTTAACCGAAGCGAATCGGCACATCACTACTCGTGGAGTAGGGCAAGGGCCTAATGTTTTGAAATTAACCATCCAAGATCATCTGCAGAAAATTGGTTTCGTAAAGCGCCTTGATGTTCGGATATCTCGCGAAATGAGCGAGCGAGAGATGGACCGCGCCTCCGCGCGCGACTCGATGCTCAAACGAAATAAAAATGAGCTATTTCTGAAACGCATGGGCACGAGTGATGAAAATCGGATTGTGTACAGCAACGAGGTAAGGAAACGATCGTGGAGCCGTCACAAACCGATGCCAAAGTCAAAATCCAGGTGCGGATGTTTATGCCTAGTTGCGTGTGGGATTAAAGGGAAATCACTTACCATGAGCTGTTGCCGCATAATCGAACGACGACTTCGGAAAGGTGCTATAGTTAGCTTGAAAATCCGGAGGCAGCGATAGACCAGAAGGGCTAATCGTGAGGGCGTAATTTTACAAATAGGGTACCTCCAGACCACACGTATTTTTGACCACTCTTCAAAAATTGCTAAAGCTTGATTGGGATGTCTTACCGCACCCCCATATAGTCCGGACCTAGCACTATCAGAATACCGCTTGCTTATGTTTCTGCAAAATCCTCTGAATGAAAAATCGTTCAATCCGCTGAGGGGCTGCAAAAAGCATCTTAGAGGGTTTTTCGATTTTGAGTCTGGAACCTTCTATGAAAGGGGGAAACTGGAACCTACAGCAGGATGGCGAATCCTTACAGAACAGATTGGAGGATATACTGTTCGATCAATGGATTTCTTCTTCTAGGAATTTTCCTTTAAAAATGAATCAAAAATCGGCGGAAACTTTTAGGCCAACCCAATAATTTGCCCAGTCTAATGCCGAGGAATTTGCTGACAGCTTTTGCTCCGCACCGTATGCACTCCTGACCCAGGCACTTGAACAAACAGTATTGCTCTGCCCATCGAGGAGACTGGCTTCCAAGCTACAAAAAAGACAAGCCGACGTTCAGAACGTAGCATGTTCAGCCATGCTGGATCGGAGCTCGTTGTTAGAAAAATCCGATTACCTTTTCAGTACCACACATGTAATATTGACGAAAGACTCATCACTGACGCTATGGAAACGCATGGAAAGCTATCATAGGTTTTGCTGCTGTCATCTCTACCCTAGCTTGCAGAGTTCTGTTCCCGTCGTGATGTACAAGTTACGGTAATTCCAACACGTACCGCATTCGCATCTGAGTGCTGTCCTTCCTGATTTGAACCTTCTGGATTTGCACTCTCATTGACTGCTTCTACTCCAGCGGACGGAGTTGGTTCGATCGTGGTTTCCGGTAGACTGAAAACGACGTAACATGAACTTTAATGTAGCAGGGTGTCAAGCTGAAACTAGAAATCAATGATGAGTTTACCTAGTAGCCATGAATTTATGCAACTCATCTACCGCTTCAGGAACATCTGAAAAATTCCTGTACTAAGCTTAATATTTCGATAGGAGATACTATTCTGGGAATCAGTTTCACCCTTAACTTGGTGCTCAAGGAACGTTTCGGAATAATTTCTGGAATAATTTCCTACCATTCTCGCGCTTAATTTTGCTGATCTTGGGCTATACTTGTCTTTCACACGCGAGCCCCTCTACATACGACTGCACGGATTCCTTTCTGAGCAACGTCATCTACTGGATTATTTTGGAAAATACCAAACCTCCAAAAGGCGTATTTGCCAGGATCAGCATTGTGAAGAAGTAGATGTGAAGCAAATAAGGTCGAGGAAACTTCTGACCAGCTTCTGGTGAGCTCAATGATAATGAAAAGTATTCCCTGCATTCCCAGATTCGGTGGATGATACAACTAACGGAAAATTCAGGGGAGGGCCAGGACATCGATCTCTTACAGGAATCAGGCCACGTGAGCCGTTTTCCGGGAGGTCCTGACATGAACCATTATCATATTTATCATTTTAACAGAAAATGATGTAATGACTTTTTGAAGGGATCTTTCTTTGGTATCTCCCAGGAAGATGCTTTTCACGTCGTCCGCTACAGGCAAGGAAATGATTATAGCAAAAGCAGCAACACTCTTCCTCAAAGCGCCGCACTATCGAGCGATGGCAATCGCTGGATCTCGTGATGTTTTTGCCAGGAAGCAGGAACTCCTGGGCGATATAACCTAATTTTTGTGCGAACATCATAAATTTTCCGTGCACTTTTCCCGTCAGGGGCCAAGTGGCGCCGTTGTGATCTCAGTCTCATGACAAAAATGACAAAAATCTGTTCCCGTATCCCTTCTTACACACTCTTCGCGTGAGAGAAAGACGGCTTTCAATGTGCAGAAAGGAGAAAAGGCTTCTAGACACGAATTTGTCCTACTTCAGATTGAGCAGGTCTAATTGTATGTCATGAGGTACGAACGAGATTTCGCCAAATATGGAATTCAATGCTCCTCACATAAACTTCACTAGGATAGGAAATTGTTCCCCTCTGCCACCAAGTCTGCCGTTACGCTCATTTATGGCCCATACCACAGTTTATGGAGCTGAGCGAACGAGAGGGGCCCAACCGTTCCCGTTTGATGGAGTATGAGTACGAGCCTTCTTGCAATACTTGTTATTGGTCTTGATTCAATGCTTAGGCTGAAAAGGAACTAGGGTAAAATGCCAAAAACGAAGAGCTTACCTGATTTTAGGAAACGTCGCAAAACTCTTTTTTCTGTTCTACCGGCCTTAGAGATATAATCCTGGAGACATACATTTTTGGAAGTTCAAAAAAGGTTCCGAGGGGTAGTAGGTAAAGTTTTTCAGCTTCAATCATGAGCTATTGCTGTTTCAATAGATGGATCAGGCACCAATTAACCGCCCACAAAGGGATGAGATGTCTTGTTGCCTCAAGTTAGAATCGATCTGAAAGACTATCTTACCCAAACCAACCAGCCCTATCCCACGGGGTCATTTAGTTAGTACCAGATTCATCAAGGACGACCATACAGTGCGTGCCACTAGACCTCCTCTATATTAACAAGGAATACTCTGATGTAAATGATTGTGAAAGTAACAATACCTTGAATGTGTCTTTTTGGGTAGCGCATATAATTGAAGTATTGCAATAACATGTAGCTGTTCCTTTTATTACAGATGCTATATTAGCTTAAACAGTGGAAATACGAAAAAGTAAAGAATATTCGAAGTAATATTGCAGAGAAGACTCATTTCTAAAGCCCCATATATTGCATTATCTTACCTTGATTCAGATGAAGGTAGCAAAAGTTGCCAGAATGATGGTCCCGCTAAGAGGGGCACATGGTTGTGTGAGCCCAGGTTAACGCGAATTTTTCGCGCGCCGCAAATCTGCGGGCGGATATCAATGCTTGTTTACTAGTCGCGGAAAATTCTGATTCTCCTCGAACGCGAAAGGGATGTTGGTCGCGCACGCACGCATTCGACTTTCGTTCAGGATCGCACTGGCGTATTTAATGCGTATGTGGCCTATACAATGACTTGCGGGGACCAGCCATTGTACAATTCAGTGCTTTTTTCTTCCCAGGCGAGACTGACACCAATTAACCAAACCCGGAGAGATGGAAGGCGTATTCGTTAAGGCAGATATCAACCCGGAATTCGAACCCGTGACCATGGGTGTGAGATAGTGAAGTGACCTGTCACTACACCACCAACACCCTAAATTACTGATGGTAAGGAATAAATGATGCAATATTTTTCAAAAACTTTGCTTTCAAACTCACTATCTCGCACATTTCCTCTTTCTATTTTTTCGTGTTCTTTGGGAGGTGAGTCGTCAAAAATTTCGCAGAACACACGCAATGGAGAATTCTCAAAATCAATTACATGAATAAGATAAGGACCAATTCTCTCATATTTTTAGTGCTTAACCTTACTACCATAATAATTCTCTTGAAGCGAAGTGCAGACTTGTTTATTCTACTCTGAAGGATAGATTCGTGAAGAGAATATTCCTTACCACATCAGCGTACCAAAATGATGGGTTTGATAGGCGATACTTTCTGTACCCTGTTCGTGTAAAACCATAACTACCGGTACAGAAGCGATGCTCTTGTTTCGTTATAGCCTAAATCACTTCCATAGTCAGAAACTAGTAAACTACCATAAATAATGAAGTAAAAAGTTCTTTGGCATCGATCTCTTCCAAGTTCGGATGCATCCCCACATTTGAAGCCTATTCAGGATCGCAGTGGCGTTTTGAGAGCATATGTGGCCTTTCACGGTGTGGAAGTCAGTAGTTTCGTCATCCCAGACAAGTTCAGTATCAATCAGCCAATCTTAGAGGTATGGAAGGCGTGGTAGGCTTGGGCGAGTATGAAGTCGGGGTCAGCTAAGGCCTCTTTGTCAGTACCTCTAGCCCTACCTGAAAAGGCATGCGCTTACAATGGTTACCTGCCCAATACACGAAAACGAAGCAGTATCTGACGATTCATATAAATTAAAATCACCCTCTCTTTGGAGTTATCCGTGTAGCAGTATACAGTCCCGGTGAGCGGGAAGCAAGTTGCGAGCATAGAAAGCCAGAGCAGATTTCCTGTAAAACGACGAACACATTTTGTCGCACTGTAATATTGGGCCTTTTGGAAAGTTCCTGTCTTATGGAACTTCCTAAGTTTACCAAGTATTTTGCAAAAGATCAACACCACAATCTAACGAAGTTATAAATATTCTGGAAGAGTAGTCCACTAATATATTACTGTTCGAGTTCTGCTAGCACTAGTGTGAAAAGGGGAAACATTGCCGATCTTGTGCCTCCTTTTGAGCCGTCCAGTTGGTCTTCTGCTGTCCGTAGAACTCGATTTTCCCCAGATTTATCCCGATACCATTCTCTGCCAGAACATCCTGCCACTTTTGCAGAGGGACCATAAGCTTTTCCAATTGCAATTGGAGTGTTGCCGTTAGTGGCGGCGATAGGCGGATGGATAATAGCGTAGGCTCACGTCTGCATTCCGATGCCCGCCGAGGCAGCTATATGGCTTGCAGAAATTGCAAAAATGGTATCGATACCAGCGTCGGGCTCAGGTTGACAGGCCGGCCGATGGAGAAAAATAGTCACAACAAACAAGGCTGAAGTCCAGAAAATATCAGTAAAGACTAGGACTAGGACGTCACTCGGAAAAGGCGCACAGGACCCGAGTTCTGTGGACAGTACACGAGGGCTAACGAGGAGTGAACGACTTCGGCCAGAGAATTTAGTCCGAGTAGAGACTCTAAATGTGAGGTCGCTGAAAAGGGAGTCTCGAATGATCTCTGGTCTTATGAAGTGCAGGAACATTCCAGTTCCATGCCTTCAGAGAAAGTCTTAAGGCCAGAGAAATTGGATATTTTGTCAAACGCTTCTATAATAGAGAAGACACCAAACGAAACGGTGTGGACATAGCACGGGCAGAATCCTTCGAAAACTGTCTCCGCCGTCGACAGGTTCGCACTCGAATCATGGCTGTGAAGATAGACAAGAAGGAGGGGTACTGGACAATAATATCAGTGTGCGCACCACAAGGCTACCCGTCTACGAGATGGATGAGGTCTATCTGAGTAGACTATCTCACCATGGGGTAATTTGAATGGGCACGTTGACAGTTACGGGAGGGACTGGAAAGGATTGCGGAGGTAGAGGAGTAGGATTGAGAAACAAAGAAGGAGAGAGGGTTCTTGCCCTGGTCATAGCCCACGACTGGGCAGTCCGCAGCACCATCTTCGCTAAAAGAAATTCTTAGAAGGTAAGCTACAGCATTTGATGAAAAAAAAACAGATATAGATCATGTGTTAGTAGAAAGATCGTCTCCTAAAGCTGTAAAGGACATCAATGTTCTGCCTGGAAAATATCTGGCTCTACAGCGCAATGCACTCTTAACAAACATAGCAATCGATCTTTCCAAGTAACCAAGGACAAGATTGGAACGCCTGATCTGGTGATGGAAGCTGCACTGTTTCGAAAGAGAACACCTCAAAGAGAAGATACTGGAAGCTAGACTTCCAGATCCCGAAGGGACGATCCGGCCGACCTGGAGAAAAACTGCAAAGGTCATCCTGCGATGTGCAGAGGAAACCCTAAGGGAAACTCTAGGTGGTCTCCGAGAGGACAAAGATGCATGGTTCTCCTCCTTGGAACGATGAAACCCAACGAGTTCAGAGGCAGAAGAAATCGGCCTACAAACGCTAGCAAAAGACATGAGCCCCAGGGCCCCTGGCTGCCTACAGAACTTCCAAGAGGCTCGCCGAGGCTGCTGTAGCGAAGGCAAAGAACACGTAAATGAACGCTTTGTATGAGAGACTCACGCGTCACCCACTCAGACATCAGGAAAGTGAATTCCTTCGAGAGCAGGGAGGGTGCAATTCTGAAGGCCACGCATGGGTAAAAGGAGTAGGCTCCTTAAGGCTCCTTTGGCAGGCTCCTTAACGAAGAATTCGCCCGTTGGAACAGCTCCCAAATAAGGGATAAAACTGACCCCATCAAACTCGGGTCAGAGGATGAAGTGCGCAGAGCAATAGGAAGGATGAAGGCTGGGAAGGCAACCGGTCCGGATGGAGTACCAATCGAGGCATTGAAGGCGCTCGGAAAGTATGGGATAAAGTGGCTCACATTCGTTGTGACCGCTGAAGGAAGAATCCCAGATGCACGGAAGAACTGTCGTACTGTCTTCTTCACAAACACCCAAATGTTTTGGATCGCCTTGGCGCACTACACCTCAATGCTTCGTGCATTATGGAATCCTTCGATGTAGAAGCTCTCTACACAAATGTCAGCAATGGGTCTGCTATGGAAACAATATTCGAGCTTCTTAGTCAGCACCAGGACGATATTGGTATGCGAGGGCTGTCTATATCCCAACTGATGACACTTGTGAAGGAGTGCCTCAGTTGTAACATTTTCAAGTGGTCAGGAAGGTATTTCGCACAGACTAGAGGCTTGGCCATGGGGCAGCGATTGG